AGAATGTTTAATGTGAAGTATATAGCTAGCATAGTGCGTTCGCAAAATCCCCACCACTACTGTTCACGACCCAAATCAACTCCAAGGCTAATTTTCGAGCGTTCTGATGTTGCCTAATATGAGAAATCGATTAAACAGTCTGTTCGACGCAGATTTCGCGTTTACATACATTGGTTTCATAAAAATGAACTTTTATAGNNNNAGTTGGTCTTAGGAGTCCCAAAAGGTCGAAATGTTCGAACCCCACCACCACCGCCTGACTTTCCCCATTGTGGCAGCCCTTTGATTAGCCGCTTCCCCCTTCCTGAAAATTGTGCCACTGAGTATTCAATAAAAAGGAAGTAAAAACAGAAAGAAAGAAAAACAAAAGTATGTTGTTAAATGACTGCTAGCACCTTAGGGGGGATGCTCCCGTCACATTCATATGATTCATATAACCTTGCGGTCGATTAACATTTTTGGCAGGATCAAGGTCCGGAAACATAACATTGAGCTGGTCTATTCCCCCCCTCCTATAACCAAGTGTAACTGGAACATGTTGTAAACGAAAAACCGAGGTACCCGAAGGAACCAATAGGATGGCAGGCAAGTAGACACGGCTCAGTTTTCTATTTCCGTTGCGAACGGAGTTTATCCAATCGCATATTTGATTAGGATTCCGAAGAAAAATACTACTTTCGGGGCCAAGAAGTGTGCAGTGTGCACAACTCTACCAATGAACGAAACAACCAGATTATATCAGTGGAGAAACGAATGCGGTTAACCGGTTCCATTATTTTTTTTGTTGTTTTGAGAAGTCAACAACAGCACAATAGGACAACAGTGAGTCTTGAACAAGTGTATGCCACTATTCATATGAAATCCACACAACCATTAAAATCACTCACTTGATGGTAGTTGAATCCTCGTGCAATAGCATAGTCTGTTCCGTCGTTCGAGTTATCGTATACTCCACGATAGGCCATATCATTTTCACTCAAAGTGCGCATCCCCAAAGGTCCAGTTAGGCGTTCCTTGGCAATTTCCAACGCATTCCAAGCTCGTTCCGGAGTGAACAATTGTGGAGCCTAGTTACAAGCAGACAAATAGATAACGGATTACGTGGACGAAAAATAATCGTCCATACAATGCTTAGCAGTTTTTCATATCAATCTAAGCATAGTGCACGATAAAGGAACAAGTGAAATAACCACAGGGACTACTGTATGGCGGAGAAGGGGAAATACTCATCCCAAACACAACTTGCTGATTTTGTGCGTCGATATAAAAAAGCTACAGCGAGGAAAAGTGAAATAACGAAGTGTTCCATAAATTCGCGATTCTTAGCAAAAAGGTGGGCCACCTGGTGACGGAAGAGTGGCCAATGAATGTACGGTAGAACTGAAAGACAAAATGGAGGCTAATACCTCAACCTTTTGGAAGGTTTCGAGGATCAGACCTCTAGAAGCACTTTTAAGGAAAAAACGAAAGGCAAAAGTTGCGATAAACTGCTTTGACAAGCGGTCAAGATGAGTGGCTATCTGAACAATAGATCGCCTCAGGAAAAATGAATTCGTCCCTGGACGATTGCCGAGTAAATGACGGTCGTGGTACGAGGGTTTCAGAGACAAACTCCAAAGATGGTAAGCTGTTTTTCGTGCTGACTGCGTGGAAACAAGCAGTTGCTAATCACTCAGAGAAGTGTTGTTTCTTGGGATTAGAAAAATGGGGAATCAACATGTGCACGCCTTGGAGAAACGGAAGACACGCGCTGGAAGGAATACAAGTTTGCAGTTGATCAAAACAGGAAATAATTGCTAACACGAAGTACGGGACCCGTGAATGAGCGGATAACAAGAGTGGTTGTGCTCGAGAGTGCGAAGGAATCACAAAGAAACAGTGACGAAAAAAGCAGGCTGTCCGGAGCAAAAGCTGACGGTGTAGAAGTTCCAGTGGAACGACTTAGCAGCTGCCGTACAATCAAACAATGACAATAAGCTATAGATAAGAACTAAGTAAAAAATGAAATAAAACACCCCTATATCTGAACCTGATCACAAAGAAATAGGAAACTCTTTGAAACTGCATCCAGAATATGTTGGTGTAACCAAAGAACAAGATGACTGTTTTTCGTGCACAGTAACAGATGGGCTTTCGCTATGCTAAGGCTGAATATGTTTACGGAATGTGCAAACTCATTGGTACAACACGCACTATGAAAGCTGAAATTCACACTGTTGCATAGTTAGAGATCACTCTAATGGATCATTGATAAATATGGACAAACACGTCATTCAGGAGGTGTATGGTCAATTTCTGATGCCACCTTAAGACTGAGCGAACTTTCGCGGAGCAAAACTTATCTGATAAACCGAGCCTTGTCATACTATTCACACTTCCTCGTTTCGTTGCCCAACGACATGCTCTCAATAGTCAAAGTCGAAGCGATTGCCTAATGGATGCCAGTAACTTAAACAGATTCCGAAGTTGTCCGATTAGATTGAATTCGGTAAGCATGGATGACGCCTGAAAATTAAACGTAGTGAACACCCAATAGGAACCAATATCGAGGAAAATTTCGGCTTAAGGAACCTTGAGTGAGAATTTCAAGTCATTAGTATGATCAACAAGAGAATGAGAGCCATTGCACCAGTGGACTGTGATTTGAGCAATCGGATAGGAGCGCGGGGGAAGGGAGGCTTTGAATGATTGATCATCTTTACATTACAATGATGCTCTTCTAAATCCTCCAGATGCTACTAGATTTAAAAACTTCCATAAAATCATGTACCAATCTGGGAGAAAATCAATTTATACCGGTACTTTTACAGAAAGACAGCCTGACTTACCACGACCATCGTGACGAGGAAGTTGGGACGTAGCTGATTGTCTGTGTAGCCTCCCGAGGAGCCCACGCTATCTCTATAAATACCACGATTGTACGCCAATGATGGGTCGGTTGTATCCGATGGGATCCAGAATAATCGTTCAAAATTGCGCTTCAACCTCTCCAACCAGTCGCCCCAAGTGAAAAACTTCCCGTCAGGCAACTGAACTCCCGAATGTGGATAATAGGAGCCCCCGGAGGGTGAGGCCGTTTGATGCATTCGTTCAAGCCAACTGATCACAGCATAGGCCAGTCCGACCAGTTCCACCGCAGAACCGTCACGTGGTGTAGCTGGTTTGCCTCGATTACCCGCCTTGTCCGAACTGCCCATTTTGTCCATCCATGTACCACAATTGAACGCGTTTCCGCCCCGAGGGAAGCCGGTATTGGGATCGATAGAAGCAGTTACCTGTGAGGTTCATCGGACAAAAGACAAGCTCATTGATTATCATTTAGTGTGATTACACGGCAAATTTTGTTAGGAAAGAATGATAAAGTATAATTTCACACTGTCTCCATCAGATGTATATATTTAGTTGATGAATAGGTTGACCTTTTTTAACCAATAACTCGTTTGTTAAAAAGCCCGAAGTATTTAACAACTGGATTACAATACCACAGTGTTTATAAAACCACGGTTGAAATGTTTATGCAAAAGACATTTAACATTTACACATATTAGAAAACGCGTAGATATAATTATCTTTAATTTGAAGCTAATGTAATTGAACAAACGAACAAAGCAATGAAAATCTCCAAAATGGTTAGTACGTACACTGTTGTTCGATAATGTTGATAACCATTATTAACGTGCAGAAAGATAAGGATATGTTTCTGTACAGCTTACTTATTGGTTTGTTTCGAGTTTCGGAAAAAAATCCGCCCATTATTTCCATACAGTCCCTTACGATTATCGTCAATAAATATACACAACACAGAAAAGAGCTAAACGAAAAAATTGCGGATTGTCTTCAATATGAGGACGAAGGCTGGAAAAAAAACTGTCCAAATACGAGCATAAAATGAGACTTAAAAACTCAGAAATGCACGTGGTGATGTTTGTTTTGTCTGCTGACAGACCTAGTCACGCGAGATTGCCACGTCTATTCTTTGGGGTAGGATGTATTAATCACTCTTGTGTGTATTATTGATGATTATAAAAAATGAAGAGGAGATAAATCGACAGAATTTATTTTACTCGTCATTTTATCCAGATCAAAATTGCTTATTTGTGAGACTTACTGTGATAAGGGTATCGACTAATACTGACAGAAAGGATTACAGTCACATTGTAGGAGTTTAAATGTGAAATAAATATAAAGCCCTGAAATGCTCATTACACATTACGAAGTTTTTGGTCGGTATACCGGTAAGCAACAGCGTCCAACGTAAAGCGTGAAGTAACCTTCGAATTACCTGATCGCCTCTAGAACTGCCAACTTATTTAAACAGCTGCACCATTTCCTGCTCCCTAGTCATAAAAACCGAATGTTCAGTTATAGGAACAGATAACACAAGCCCCGGGAATGGAAGTGAACGGCTACATCAAGTTCGACGAGACAGTGAAACTATCTACCAAAGAATTTAGGTGACGCGAGGCACGGTTCTAGCCTAAAGCCTAAATCTTGGCAGTGATTCAAATGGTTAAAGGGAAATACTTGGGCAAATAGCGACTAGGTACGACTGAACAAAGTGTGCACTGCAAAAAATGGTGTAGGTAGAAATACACGAATATTTGAACAGCCTCACCGATCGGATTCTTCACAAAATACGGACAAATTTTACTACTTCGGCAGACACATCTCACTCGGTAGATGGATTTCCCTCTTCTTTAGCTGTCCGTGTAAAGGTTGCCATGAAAAAGTCCAGGACATCACAATACTAGCCACTTCTTTCATGGTCATCCTCGACGAAACCATTTCAATTATGCTGTGATCGTATATTAATGTATAATTTTGAGAATGAATAATCGAAAATAATTATTCGCTTCACTGATTTTTTCTATGCCGTAACAGTCACATATTCAAACGGTCACCGAGTCCATGATTGATTACGATCCCATTCTGGAGTATTATTCAGAAATTTTTGGGCACCAACTAGAAGGACTTGTGAAGAATTTAAAGAATGTTATAGCATTTATAGGCTAGGGTGACGCAGCTTTCGGTGGTGATAGCATGTCACATCCCTACGGAACAGGTCCTTTGTTTTGGTCTACACCAATCCCCAAATCTCAATTTGGCTCAGTGAACACGCTTGCGTGTGGCGATAGACACGTTCGGGTAACAACCGCTCGGCAGGCAGACTAAACCAAGTCGATAACCGGATTCCCAGGACAACGGTGAATCACAGCTTTACTCATGTATGGAAAACAGTCTTCCAGGATTGGGCGACTGCCAAGGTGGTCGTAATATAAACACAATATTGAAAACAACCCGACTGTGATTTAGGTTATATTTATTTATGTAAAGGCTAGAGAAGCAAACCCAAATTTTAAAAAAATCGAACGAGATTAGAGACATCAGTCACAAGAAACTCCCCGGAAACTTCCCTGAGGTCTTCTCATCTTCCAGGAACTAGCCCAAAGGAGAACAACCTATTGTACGGTGCGTACAAAACATCGAAAATGCATTTTTCTGAAAGTAATGGGAAATGAACTCACTCTGAATCCTTCTGGTTTCATTTGTTCGTCCAAACCGGGGCCGGCATTTCGCTCAGTGAAATCGATCCCCGACACGTGACGTTGAAGAACTTCCTGGATTACCTCATGCAATGGTTGCACACGGGAATTTATGACTGAATTTCGGCGTTCGGGTTTTTCGACCGGCCAACCAGGTGCATTATCTGTAGGGAACCAACGCCAAACCGGACGTTCCATCAGGCTTTGCGACTGAGCTGATAGTCGAATCCAAGATAGACGACGAGAGCCACCTGCCGCTGAATGAGTGTTCACCTGTTTTGCAATCGGCGTCGCGCTGCTTTCCGAGCTGCTCTCAGTCGTAGGAACTGGACTCACTTCATCTGGATTTTTGGACATTTGTTCGTAGCACATGATGGAATAAAGCCAGAACCACACCGCATCACGACAATTGTAGCGTGGGTGCACAACATTACCTTCTCCAGTCAAATTGGGAATCAGTCCGTGTCGCACTAGGCTAGCGTAGCTCAGGATAATACTGGCGGCCTCCTGCAAGAAGAAATCACGACAGCATCAGTGAATATATCGGCAAAAAATTTGAATACACAATATAGTAGGATTACATGATGAATTCGTCGCGTAAATGAAGCGTGAGCTGAAAAGCTGGAAAACACTGAACAGCTGTTTTAACCAGGTTGGGTCTCATCATCAGTGCGAATCCATCGACCCAACTGGAGATCGCAAACCCGGGACCTCATATAAAACAGTAGGATTACGTTGCACAATTTGTACCCGGATACATATATATATCGTTGTATTGCATCACATGCATACTAGAAATTCTATAATGTAAATGATAACAACAAATGGATAAAATAACCGGTAATAAGCTCACAACTGGCATAGGTTTTAACAAGGTCACGCCAACGTAACGAATAACTCCTATTGCTCACACAAACTAGGCTTTTATCTTTGGTTCAGAAAAGTGCGGCAAACGTGAATTGCTGTTGGATTGGATCAGTGAGAACGCAGCAGTTTGGCACAATCAATTTTATAATCGACGAATTGCTATGGCTACACAGAGCCCGTATCATTATTCTTTGAGTTAAACAGTGTAAGAAAATTCATTTCGCGTTGAGTTGAAATAATTACTTGGCCGGTTCGGATAGCAGTGGATGCTCCGCTTCCCAAATATTGTGCACAGTAAGTCAGATCGAGCAAATGAAAAAGACCAACTGACGCAATTATTGAGTAAGGGATACTGCGTAAACGGTAGATAAAAGCGAAGAATAAGGGAACCGTTATATGAAGCCAACGGTTTGCCTATTCACATTTAACAACGGCATCGTTTACTTCAGGCCGACCACGTTAAAGCACAGTTTAGCTGACCCTTTTTTGTTTTTTTACAACTATTGAACGTGCACTTTTGTGCGACAGATTTGGTTACTGTCTTTGGGTTGCCAATTGGGGTTGAAAGAGTAGAGGGAAGATTGGAACGTTGAAGGCAGTTTCGAAGTGAAAATGTAGAATTCCGGTAGATTAAGGTTATAAAGAAACTGCGAAGATGCACGAGCGCCACTGTTTAGAGCCATTCAACCATATCATTCGGTGACTTAAACCAATGATTACGATGATCCCGAAGTCCTCATCCAATAATCCGAACGCGACCTACATAAGTGAATCTTTGGTTCATTGGGGCTTTTTATACATTATCATACCGGATCTTAGTATCACCACAGTTGCTGTCTTTTCGACAACTACCTGCCTAGGTGAAGACTGCACGCTGTGGCAACCCATTTGGTGACAAGCGTAATCCAGATCCGACAAACATAAGGATACCGCTTTCCGTGTACGAGGACAGGGGTTGCCCAGAATTAAATCCATTACGAAGTTGATTAGGAGTGAGAGCAACCATGAAGAACGCTGCTTGGTATGGTGAAATTGGACGACAGAAAAGCGGTAGGCTTCAACTTGACTTCAGTTATTCGTATAGGGGGATCGAAATAAACTCCGTTCGCATACTATTCAAGGTGAGGCAGCGCTGGAGTATACGGCCTCCAGTGTAAACTGAGTCCTTTGGTTGGTGCATGAACTGATGGACTATCAGAAAACTCCGATTTGAAAGCCGATTTTTAATTGTCACTTACATTGTATCTTGGGTATCTGGTGCCGGTAGTTTTGTTGTGAGTATGTACCAGGCAAAGGAAAAATCTGGCATGGTCTTCGTCCACAGGTGTTGGCAACACGGAGCGGTAGTCTTTAAAAGATCCCCGATGGCGGATGGCGAAAAGGTTCATAGGATACCAACACTGTGAAGAGATACGGGGGTTTCACATGGAGCACTGTCGATTCTTCAGATTCAGCTTCTTCCACAGCTAATCCAGCATATTTCCTATGGTCTACACAAAAGACGCCTGTTCGGAGTCAGAGACCGACAGAAGAATTCAAACCCTAGGATATCAATAAGCGATGGCCTCCAATGATCTTCTCTGAGTCCCATTAAAAGTTAGTAGGGTAAAGCGTTTTAGAGAACTGCATGTTTTGTTCTATAAAGTTAGGAACATTGGGTGCATCGCCCTCCTTGCGGACGGAACAGAACGTTGACCCCAACTTTAGGAAGGGTCTGTGCAGTGATGGCACTAACTATAGAGGTATAAGACTAGTCTCAAATGGCATTAAATCAGGTTGTATAATACCCGTGAGAAGAAAAGCCGCGAGATCGGGTTTCACACCGGTCCAGTAAAAAACAGTAGCGCAATTGCTATACACTCTGTCTGTTTAAATCCCTTGCTCCGTAATGAACAAATAAACACCAACCATGGAAAAAATTGCATGGTGGAATATAAAAACTCGGCACTCATCACTTGCACACTTGTTGTTATTGCGTTTGAAGTAAGCATATTTATATTCTCTGCATGATATCTTCAACTGGGCGGACGAAGATTGAATGAGGCGGTTTAAATTTGACTGCAGTACGCACATGTATAGATGCAGTAAAATTATCATAAAACTAACTTACATCAAATCGGTCGGTCAACAGCAGACAGCCACGCAGAGCAATGAATGTATCACGACCCCAGGAACGCCACATACCTTCCGCAAAATGGGGTAAACCGGCAGCTAAACTACAATGTAGGGGAACGCCAGCCAGATGGGCAACCTCAGACGCCATATCGAGCGGCATGAATGGAACTGCCGGTGGTAAGGCGCAATTCCCAATGTAACCGTACAGCTGATTTGTGGCCAAGGCCAAACGCTTGACCATCGAAGAGCAAGTGCGAATCCACGGTGACATGCGGTGTATAGTCTACCGTCCGTATAGACCAATGGACAGAAGAAAAGCAAGTGCAGGTATTTTTCAAACAATGAGGAAAAATATAAATGAACTTAAGCGTTAATGACACTGAAACAGGCACTTGTGGTTCACATGAAATACTATTTTTCTCAAAACTCTCGTACAATAGCAAAGCATGGAAGAAATCAATCGGGACAAATATGGGAATAGGGTAAACTGGCTTCAAGTATATGAGAGTGGTGGTGGGCCAGTGGTTTAGTCATTGTCACTGGCGTATACTTTGAACCCTCTGGTCTGAGGTTCGAGCACTGCCATCACAACCTAACTTAGGTGAGAGGTAACCTTGCTGTCGTCCGGTTCAATAGCATGCGCGACCCAATAGAGCCTTATTTGGTTTGCCACTCCAAGGCCCGGAGCATAGGTTACCCGTTTCCATCACTGAACAGCAGGTTTTTGTGACTATGGCGTGTGTAATAAAGAAAATCTGTGATACATTTTTTCGACTTTTCATCATGCAACGAATGTCATCAGAGCGATCAGTGATTGACACATTGAGACATACATTCATCACTCGATGGCGTCACTGCATGTAATCCCTTCATTAAGTGATCTAACAGGACCCACAATGAATTTTCATTTGCCAATAAAGCAAGCTTCCACTAAGCCTTCCATTTAACACCACAGACAGAGTTGGGTGGGAGTCAGTCTTTTAAATGCTATTACTCAGATATCTGTAATCTGATAAACTGAATTGAAGTCGGAGAAATTTCAACTTCATTATTTAAAAAAAACTCATGAGAATAACAGGTTGTTTGCACAAATCTCTGAGTAATAAGTCATCGTTGTACAGTGAAGTGAACTTCATTGATCGCTGACAAACTCACAATGAATTCGAGGTAAGTGAGAATTTGCATCATGGATAAGGATTAGGATCAATTCGAGATAGGGAGTCAAAGAAAGGGAACATCCGTGGTTAACAAACAGAGCACACAATCCAACTGTGCATACATATTTTTTTCAAGCGTTCTCATCTGATTAGAACAGACAATAGAAAGATTACCGTTTTCGGTTTGCTGTCATGTCCTTCAGTGTCTCTAATCAACCAACGACGCAATGTTTTTGGACCCCAATCTGGAAGAAGGAAGACAATTACTCTACCTGATAGCTCTTTGCACTTCTCTATGTCTCGTTCCTACGTTATCGGCCGACCACGTAGTTTCTGGAGAGGCGACTGTGAGTAAGGTGCGATGCGGTAGGCAACCGTTAGATATGTGCAAAACGTGACCCGATGAGCGAAACCTACAGAATTTGGTGTGATGATGATTTTTTTTACTCTCTAAGTTCCCGAATACACAACGCCTTACCTTAAGGTTGATAAAATGCTCACGCCACCTCATTTGCACCATTGTTTATTGTATGGCAGCCCCCTTGATATCTGCCTCCTCATTCTTGAAAATTGTATCCTTGAATATCCAATAAAGATGAAAAATGAACTGCGTATCTATAAACGGTCTAAATCCTCCAGTCGATGAATCTCTACCGGTAGATTCAAGGTCTTACAACCGTATAGCAGCACTAACCAAACAATGGAACAATATACACGACTTTACAACTTCAGTGAAACGTCACGTCATGACCGAAGTTGCTTCAGTTCTGTGCAGTCTGCTCAAACTTGTGAAATGCATGTCTTTAACTTCTTTAATGCATTTCCGTCACTCATCAAGCAGCCAAGTACGACAAACTATCGATTTCGTGCAATGCCTGCCCATTCAGTTTCGAAGTAACACTAGTTGAAACCCAGTCTTGCAGCATCACTTCGAACTTTGAGCGTCATCCACACATTTGGAGAGATGTTGTTCGCGCACTCCAAATCGCACAGCTATTCTTCAGCTGCTTATTCAATCCCAGTAATTCGGAGACCATTCTCTGAGGTTTCCAGTATTTTGTATACGACTGAAATGAACAGAAACGGCGAAACAGGACAACCGTGACGAACACCGCTGGCGAATTTGAACGATCTGTTCAATCTGCCGTAGACCTTCACCCTGCCAGAAATATCCCAATACAGCCATAGAAATAGGTCCACATTCTTATGCGGTATTCTTATTCGAAGAAGAGAACACATTAGTTTCTTACTATCAACTGATTCGGAGGTTTTTTCTAGGTTAAAGAACACTGCGATCGTTGGCAACGCAAAGATTTGAGAGTAAATCCATCGCAGTGCAAACGCTGCNAGCCGATGTGAAAAACTTTGGCGAGATACAAAAAATATAAGCATATCTAAAGAAACTGAAATTCAAGGTTTCTCAGTGAATTATCGAACGAAAAACTGTAACGTCATATCATAGAAGCACCAAAAGCAGAGGACGGAAAAGAAGTCAATGTTCTGCACATTCTAATCGTAAACGGATAACACCTGAATTTTAGTCCACCCTTTTTGAGCGTCACCTTCGGCAAGGACCTGAACACACCGGGGTTAGAGGGAGTAAAGATCTACCAGTCTCCGACAGCCTCAGTATGGTCGGAGGTGGATGTCTTGGTTTGCGGCTGATCACTCTTCCCTTGCACCTCGCCAGATGCTACCATTAGACCAAGCGTCTCAAACAGCCTCCCTGAGGAAGCCCTATTTACTGTCTCCGCGTGGAGGTGTTTTTCCACCGAATTGAGGGGACAAAAAGCCGACATCCAGGGCTATAATCGTGTTGGTGGATCACTGGCAATTTACCTATGGCCAAATACCCTGAACAAAAACCAACCAAGAAGAGGCGTACGAATGACACACCTTCCCGGTTGTTGCAGTGGTCACTAACACTAAGGTGTATTAGGCACCTTAGACGTTTGACCCTGTCCAAGGGCGTATGATCTGATGAACCGGACAGTGGCCACCAATGGATTGCGGTTTTCACACACCGCCCCGCTGCCTTTTAGGTCAGGCTTTGGCTAGCCGAAGGCTCCAGTTGTGATATATATATATATATGCAGTGTATGGAATTCTCTTCCATTCGATGCAGTGTGTGCTCTTACAGTTAAACTATTCAAATTGCAACTTAATAAAGTATTGGAACACTTAAAATTTCGAAATCCGTGAGAAATCATGCAAATTGTTATTATTATTATTATTATTTTCTGTTTGTGAAGTTATTCAAAGATTCTGTAAAAATCCTATGGGACATGATAAGCTTTAGCTGTGTTAAATCACCCATAATAAAACTTTGACTTAATGCAAATCATGGAACGTTTTCATAAACATTATTGTACCAGGATTTGTTTGGCACAGTCTTGCGTCAAACGTGTGCGAAATATATATAGTTATCTGGACAGCTGAGTTGCTCCAAAATTGGATATACCAGAATTGTCTTCTGTTATTAAGCAATATGGAGATAAATTTGGCCCCAGTAATGCAGTGTTTCGATATATGTCCTGTAGTCCTGTCCATTAAACTCATTCTGTCTTTCGCATCCACTGTACCCATAGGTTCCGAGTTTCGATTTGATTTGCGGATAAACACCCAAAAAAACAATCACTTGTCAGAAAAGCGAACTACCTCCAACTAGTTCCATTATTAACCACCAGCTTGAGCCAGACGAAGCATCTGCCAAGTAAATAGCGGAGCAAAAAGACAACCAAAAAATATGAACAGAATAAAATTAAGGAGGATTGTTGTTATCGGTTTACGCCGTACGTGTCACCTGAAATTTTTGTCAATCGTATTGTTTCATCTTTGGAAAGGGGGTAACAAGCATTGACAGAAAACTTTTTTACGTTTATTTACATTGACTTTGAATTCGGTCCGTAATTCTCGCAGTTTTCCGCCAACTAAATTCATCCTCCTTAGGTGCTGACTGATGCAGTAGTTGGAACGGACTGACCAAAAGTAAAGCTATATTTAAACTTCAGATTCCAATGCATAGTTTCAGGTTGACCGCCACGACGCTTCTTTCAGATATGCCAATAAATCGCAAACAACGAGGCGATAGTCAAATGCGAAAAAAGTCATCGGGCATCAAGGACACGGAGAAGTAAGGCATCGCGAACGCTCGGCAACCCATTTCTAAGTGTGGCACCAAATGCCTACTTCCTTAGAGAGAGTGGTGTATGTTACTGCGGCACCACAGGTAACGGGTTGGAGAACAGCTGTCTGGCTTCTGTTGTGTGATTTGATCGCCTTTTAAACACTACGGTCAGTTATTACTTCACTGACGAGAGAAAATAAGTCGAACGGTTGATAGGAGAGAAGAAACGGAATCTATTCGAAAGGTAGATATAGGTTATCAATCTGTGGGAGACCGACATTGCTTGTAAGTGCAACATGCAAGGTGAAATTAGAGATATAATCCAGATGGGTAACCCAATTCCCTTGGAATCACCAATTCTGCACAAACCAGCTAACTACTCTTGTGTCATATGAATGCGCGTCTCCATGTGCTCGCTATCAGCTGCAAAGGAACGGCGAAAAGGGTGCATTTAAAATAATGATTGGAAGATAATGATAGTGGCTATGAAGAATATTTATGGACTGAAGCAAGACAGTAAATCGATTCGACAGACAAAGACAAGCAAGTGAATTAATGTGTACGATTAAGGAATTTGTAACGGTGGTTAGAAATAAATTCACATACAGGGGGATACAAGAATGCAGTTTGAATCCTTTGATTAGTCAGTCGATAAATGTTTTGTTCATTTCAACTGCACTTACTTCAAGGTCAGCCAACACGGTTGTGCGGACAGAACTGAATGCCAAATCTATGATGGACTTCTTGGCATTAAATTTCAATAGCCTCACTGTTTCTAAATATCGATCACGTTACCCATGCCGTGCAGATAAGAATCTATTTTTGACCATAACGCGATGGACAGACAGTGGGTAAAGTTAGTCGAGAGGAAGTAAAAGAGACAGCGAGTTAGTGAGAACAAGCCGAACCTATTGGAGCATAATCAGTGAGCTAAATACAACGGATGGATTTAGGCCAATCAACTGTGTAACAGTTATACTGCAACTGCACCGGTTATGTGAATGAGCGTTTTCAAGTGTCGTCGACCAAATTACAGCAATAGAAAGTCCAGCAAGATTTCCTTTGAAAAAAATATGCAGAGTGAACTGTAAAAAAGAACTATGGACAGCAGGAATACCAGGTTTCGTCTGAACTAGTCTGCAAACAACCAGTCGTGCAGTGCCCAGATAGCCTTAGAACGACCGAATGAACCCGATAGCAATTTTCA